CTTTACTGTAGACTGGGGGCACTCCCTCATTACGAGAAAAAAAGAGAGAGAGAGAGAGGGGACCTTCGAGTGGCTTTTGATTTCGTTTACATGTTGGCACTTGGCAAGTTGCCAACATATCACGTTTTAATTGCTGGCAATTGCATTTCTATTTCTTTTAACTTTTTCAATACCAAACTTCAAATTTATAACATGAAATAAATTTTGACAAATAAATTTTAAATATATTAAGAAATTAATCTTCAAAATTATCCCTAATTATTGAAGATTTTCTTTTTTTAATGAGAAAAAGGAATATTTTATTTTTAAAACAATGCTTATTTTATTAAGCCAAACAAATCCTAGATTTTGAAAGAAAAAGTATAAAATTTAATAAGTAAACAAGTCCTAAATTATATAGTAAATATATATATATAACACTTTTTTAAAACATGCCATGTTTGGAATTGGATGTACACACTAGTTTTTTCATTAGCTCAAAATTTTGAAAATATGATACTTAAAGATTCGATACATTGATGAATATGTGTTGTAACTCAACATTCCTTTTAGGTAGACAACTTTCTTTTTGATGTTGTCATAATGGATGTAAAATTTTATATCTCTGTTTTATTTTTTAAAAGAATATAGATGAAAGAGAATCACTAGAATGAGAGAAACGGTTCGAAAAAGAGAATAAATATTTTTTTTGTTGTATAATCATACCATAAAAAAAAAAAAATTACATGTTCAATACTTCCATGTACGGTCCATTTTTTTCTCTCTAGATTTTTCCACTTACATGAGTTACATCCTAGCATCCACACCTTCACAAACTTCCCAAGATTACTGATTAATCTTATTATAATTAAAGGCCAGAGGGGAAAAAAAAACCCAAAATTTCAACTTTTTTTTTTGAAAGTAGTCTTATCTCAAAAGCTGGATTGAAATTTATATTAAAAAAAAAAATGCAAACCAAAATAGTTTGCTAATTAATCTACAGTACTAATTATTAATATAGATAAGCAAAAAATTAACTAATAAATAAATGAATTACCTAATTTTTTTTTTCCCCTATAAATCGTGTGTAGATCCTACAATAATACTACTAAGATAACCCACAAGGTACATGGCCTCAGACCAATGTTGAACAAGTCGAGGTCACAGGATCATAAAGAGCCGGAAGTAAATACTTCCTACCATTGTCGCCGTGAGCGTTGTAACTAGCGCCGGTTGTGGGGTCTACCAATAAGTTTCCGGCGTAGCCAGGGTAAGCTCCTTTGCCGTAAACGCCAGGACAGGCGGATGCAGCTTCCAACGGTGCCTCGGCTGGGCCCTGGAAGTACCCGTTCCCAAAAGGGTTGGTGGCGGTTCCGGCCAAGAGGCTAGCCAAGTTGATCACCATCCCATCAAGACCCACATTGTTGTTGGGTGCGACGAGTGGTGGGTTTTGTGGACCGTAAATCGGCTGGTGGAATGGCCACGCGCATTGACCAGGGCACTGAGTCTCCGAGTTACCCACCCAAATGTAGGCAAATTTCGAGTGCTTCACGCCCTTAGCCTGGCCATTTCTAGAGCCCAGAGCAGACCCGTGAGTTCCACACCGGCTCATACAGAACCCGTCAACCGCAACATCCGCCGCCGTTAGAACCACATTAATCGCGTTCTTCTGGTCACCCTTTGAAGCCAGCTCCACGAGTTGCTCGTTTTTGAGTAGTTTCCCCAACGAGTAGCTCTCGTCGAGAATCTGTTTCCCCAAAGAGAGGGACAGAGTAGCCTTCTTGGAGGTGAGGTGGTAGTATTTCTCGGTGGTTTTCCACCAGGTAGCCACCGATGGTTGGCTAGTTTGAGGAGCTGAAGACCACAGAGAGGTGACGAAATCTGAGACAATCCCCCTCTCCGATGGCTTAAACTTTCCGTACCAAATCAGATTGATGGTGATTTTACCGGAAAGAAGAGGACCATTGTGGTATGTCAAGAGCTGAGACTGGTCTTGCACCACCTCACTCAGCTGCCTTGCGGCCAAAGAAATTTGAAACAGAGAAATCAAGATGAAAACTTTAAACACTGATTGAGTAACAGTAGCAGCCATTTTTTTAACCAAATCAAAGAAAACCAATTTGATTTGAAGAAATCAAGACGAAGAAGAACCAGCTGAGATAGCTGTTTGCTTGTTTGTTTGAGAGCTTGTGTGTGGTATGCTGAGTCTTCAAAATGGGTATATATAGACCGAAAAAGGGTTAGCATAATTTTAAAATGCGTACGGAAGAAAAAAAAGAAGATATATATATAGATATATATGTACCGTTGAATGTATGAAATTAAGATGGGCTTTCCTAATTACGAGTAAGGGAAAAAGAGACGCAACGGCACTCCTTAGCGCGTTTTTTAATTAAAAATTGATTGACTTTCACCTTATTTTTCTCCTTCGCGTTTGTTACACGCACCATTGACAATCTGAGGTTGATGTTACGCATCAGTTGGCGCGTGATGAAAACTCGTTGCCAGAAAAATGGGTTCTTTCGTAGAAGGAGAAAAGGGGCGAGGTTACCTTACGAATGAAATTCTTGAGTTCACCGAAACAGTGTTAAAATTATGTTGGGATTTTTTTAACCCGGATCTTTAAGTTTAAGGTACAGTATAAGTAAATAATTAATATATTTTTTCTTATTAAATTATATAAAAAATAAATTTTAATTTTAATTTTAATTTTAACAATTAACTAATTAAATTAAGACATATGGTATTGATATTAAAATTAATATTAATTTTTGATATATATAAATTAATGATGAAAAAATATATTAATTACATCATTAAACATGTTAGAAGAATTCAAAAATGTTAATTTTGTATATTTTAATGGTTAAAATAAGACATATGGTATTGATATTAAAATTAATATTAATTTTTGATATATATAAATTAATGATGAAAAATTATATTAATTACATCATTAAACATGTTAGAAGAATTCAAAAATGTTAATTTTGTATATTTTAATGGTTAAAAATAATTAATAATTAATAAAATGCTTGATATTTATTATAT